TGACCTTCATTTTGTTAGTTATTCGCTAGACATAATTAATAAAATGATTAATTGCCCAGATATTATGTCTCTCATACTTTTCATACATTACATAAGAATGAGGGAACAGATTTGTTCTGATTTCTGGTGAGACAAGACTTTGAATCCTGTCTCGTGGTGTTGTGTGGTTACTCCTGATTAGGCCCATCTGAGGAGAAAAAAAAAAGCTGTTTTTCCACTCTGAGAGAGTATAAACAGCATGTTGCACCACAGTTCCAAGGGTAACCAAATCCAAGGGGCTAGACCAGTGTGGAAAAGGAGCTTGTAGCTCTGGTCTGAAATTAAGAAAATTAGTCCTAAGCAGGTCTGGGAGAACACACCATGAAAGGTATGTTCTAGGTAAGATGCTGGTTTGTCTTATTCCTCTTCTCCACCTGACATCTCTTACTTATGTAGAGAAGAGATTCTAATCCCATTTCTTTCTCACTATTGTGTTAGGTTCCAATGCCAATTTTTCAGGTTTCAACACAAGGGGAAAAAGAAAGGAAGTGGGAAGATTGGGAGGGGGAGACAGAAAAAGGGGAAACCAAGGAAGAAGAAGAAAGTAGCAAGGGAGAGGTGTAAAAGAAGCATCAATATGCCCAGCTTCTAGTGAGTCAGCACATACACACACACACACACACACACACACACACACACACAACACCACCACCACCACCACCACCACCACACAGTTACTATATTAGTAGAACAGGGGAAGTGCCAAGTGAGAACAATTCAATTCAATAAACATTTATTAAGTGTCCCCTATGTGCCAAGCACTGGGCTAATCACTAGGGAAGGAAGGAACAAACAAATGAAAGAAAGAAGGAAGAAAAGAAGGAAGGAGAGGATGGAAGGATAGAGGGAAGAAAGGAGGAAGGGGAAGGAAGGGGAGGAAAGGAAGAAGAGGAATGGAAGGGGAAGAAGGAAAAGAGAAAGAAAGAAGGAGGAGAGGGAGGAAGGGAAGGAGGGAGAGAGGGAGGGAGCAAGGGTGGGAGAAAAGAAGTGAGGGATGAAGGAAGGAAGGAAGGAAGGAAGGAAGGAAGGAAGGAAGGAAGGAAGGAAGGAAGGAAAGACTATTTCCTATTTATCTTCAATCTAGCACATTTGCACATTACTGCTTGTCTCCCCATTAGACTGGGAGCTCCTTGAGAGCAGACGTTGTCTTTTGCCTTTTTTTGTACCCCCCTGCACTTAACACAATGCCGAGCACATCATAGACACTGAATGAATGCGTATTGACTAACTGATTGGCTGAATCCCCAAACTATACAAAGCAGCACCTCTTCACACCTATCACATTAATACATTCCTTGTAGACCCCTCTGTATAGTCTAACTTTATTCTCAATAGATGTGTTCTATCCTGAGGTTGGTAGAGAGTTTCTGGGGTTTGAAGGGAGGTATCTGCGGGTGAAGAATGGGTGCAAGGAGCATAAGAGGGAGCAGCAGGAGCCAGAGAGAGCCAGGGATGGGGTGAGTGGTTGAAGCTGTGGCCCCTGTTCTCCCTATGCCCAGCCAGATCTCCGTCCTCCTCCCTGATCAGGGACAAGGATGCTCCTTTCCTTGTGAAGGATGTTTCTATGACTGACCTTCTTCTACTTGAGGAAGGGGAGAGGAGTCCCAAAGACCGATATGGAATGTCTTTTCCTGTGCCAGGACGGAGTGTGCAGGGCAGATTCTCTTGAGTTGGCATCATGTGTTTCAGGTGAGGAAGAGACTATTGCAATGGATGCCCAGGTGGCAAGTGTGTTGAGGAATATCATTGGCATGTGGACAGTAACATGGTTATACTCTACAACTTGGTTACTCACCTGGAGAGGTAAGTATGAGGAAAAGTCAGGGCAGGGAATTTGTTTTGAGCCCTATGGGCCAGTTTGAGCAGGGAAGATACAGGGATATGAGCACTGGGTACTTCCAGCCTTCCCCTAACCCTTTAACCCAACAATAGAGCCAGTAACCCTTATAATAAACACCATTTGGGGTTTTCTGGGGTCCTCTGCTTATAAGCTAATACAGACAGAAAAGTTAAAGGAGCACAAGACATATCTCAGTCTCAGAGCTCCTCTTTCCTCAGGGGTCTGTGACTGGGTTAAGGAAATTGTCCCTGAGTCCCTGGATCCTCCCACTAACACTTCTGTTCCCGAGGCTGGTGATCTCTACCCTCTTCTGGAATGTCCTCTGTATAAGAAAACGAGGGTGAAAATAAGTGGTAATGAGCTGTCTTTGGGAACCATGAGATCACAACAGATTCACATCTCTCCACTTCAGCACTTTCTTCAGCTGGAGAGTTGGGCCATTGGTCATCTTCCATGAGACAGATTTAGTTGGAGAAAACTCCTACTCCCAGTCTTTTGGGAGCTCCTGATCCCTTCAGTCAGAATTTATACTCCAGAAGGTAGGGGACAGTCTGAGTGATTATGTCTTTGACCCTTCTGCTCTCTTTCAGAACGTCTTCAGAAAAAGAACTTTTGGTGGCACTTGTATGGGATCCTGACAGTGACTTTTTCATTGGAAATGGGTGTTTCTATTTGTAATTTGTGGACCCGGCACAGTTGCCCAGGTAATGTTGACCTGGAGCCGAGATGAGGGGGGGAGGGTAATTGGACAATATTAAAGGGCAGTCCTCATAAAATACTCATTGGGTGTTAACTCCAAGTCCTCATTCTGTTCTTACTCCAATCTCTGGATTACCTGACACACCAAATTATACACAACCCGTTTCATCTT